ATAAGAATGATTTGACAACATATATAAGCTCATCTAAAATCATAATTTTTATCATATATTTCTCTAATTAAAACTATTCAATGCATGCAAAATTTCATTATGCTATTATAGAATTAATGCAGTCCATTGTAAAAGTTTTGATGAATCAAATTGATATTCAAATGGCCATAAAGAATTTTTGAAGTAATGCATATCATTACTATCAATAATCTCAATTAGAATTAAACAATTATTGGAAAGGTTGAGCTTCATTTGAGGCATGAGCCTAAATAGAATGAATCCAACCTCATATATTTGCTAAAAATATAATTTTAAGAAGAAATTATGTTTATTCTTAAGAAAAGCATATCTAGTAGGGGTGTTAATATTTGACACGACTCGAAAATCTGACCTAATCCCGACCTGAAAATTCTCGGTTAGGTCAACCCATTTGAGAAATAGGTCGAGTTCGAGTTCAACAAATCGGCTCATTTCAAAAATCAGGTTGGGTTCAAGTTGACACGGAAACCCGGGAATGACCTGGATTGATCCGTGCTGACTGTGTTGCGCCACATCTACCCACAGCCCTCGTCGCGTCTACCCCGTCTTCTCGCGTCACGTGTCTCTTTGCATGAGTCATGTCCTACTGACGATCATGCCGCTGGCACCTTTACCGCAGTTGCGGTGCTATTGCGGGCGCTGTTGTGTCGCTACCTACGCTGCTCAGTGCTTAAGCTAATCGTTCGGTTGCAACGCCCAGAACGTGTTTGCGGGTCAGGTTCGGATTGAAATACCTGGCTCGTTTGCAAAACCAGGTCAGATTCTGGTCAGGTCAATTTCAGATTCAACTCGAACCCAACTTGTGACCTAATTTTGACAACCATAATATCTAGCACTCTAACTACAATAATTCACATTTATTAGTAAAAATAATAATAATAATTCACATTTATTAGTGAAGAGAATGTTTCCATAGTTTGAACTTAAGACCATTAAATCACAATGAAAGTGACATAACTAGTCATCTTGGCCCACCCATCAGCATCTAGCTTATTTAATAAAATATTTTTTTAAAATGATGGTGACATCCATAATGTTGTTTACATATATAAAAGGGACATTTCAACTTCCACCACAATAAAACTTGCTGATTGTATTCAGGTAAGTATTTGCACTTTGGATTAAAGGGTTAAATAAATCAATCACATCATCATTGGACAATGGTGGGTAAGGCCACTTGAGCAGTTCTCATATTGGCATGGATGATAGTGACAATCTTATCTTCATAGCATGATTGGTTTGCCCATTTGGATTTCCCTCAAGTAATGCTACCCAATCCAACTTAGCAACCAAAAGCTCTCTCTCTTCCAATGGAAACTTGACATATTGGATTATTATTCATTCACTCCACATGTCATTATTTCATTGGACTAAAATATATCTTCTTTTTTTTATTTAGTAGGTGGCTAACATTCATCAACATATTCAGTTCAGATTTCGTTCGAGATAATTTTCTTACTATTTTTTTGTTCAGATCGCAAACATAGTTCCTAGTTGATCTTTTTTTTTTTAATAAAGGTTTCGTTTGAGACAGATTTCTTATTGTTTTTTAAAGCTATTTTTTAATAGAAATTTTTAAATTGAAAAAAATTATTAAAAATTACATTAAAAAATAGGGATTTTTACATACATAGCACCTAAAACTTTTGAAAATACATATCTAACACCTAAACATTAGTATTTACTTATATACCACCTAAATTTTCCCTCTCCTTCAATTCTACCACTTCGTTTATCCGCACCCGCACGTCGTCACTTCCTTGAGCTCGACGAATTCCTCCGCCCCCTTTGGGACTCCCCTCCTCTTCCCTTAACTCGCCTCCCTCACTTCCACTCCCCCAACGCCTCCCTCCCCTTCCTCTGTCACCTCCACCGCTCCTCCCCTCGCCGCGTTTTCGACGCAATCATCTTCAACAATGAACTCGACATCCTCCACCTCCGCCACCGCACTCTCCTCCCCTTCATCCACCGCTTCCTCCTCCTCGAATCCAACTCCACCTTCACCGGCCTCCCCAAACCCCTGTTCTTCAATCAAAGCTCCTCCTTTTTCTCCTTCGCCTCCCACAAAATCATCTACCGTTCCTTCACTCCTCCTTCCTCCAATCCTCCTCTCCCGCATTCTCATCATGTCCGACGCCGACGAAATCCCCAGCCCCGAAACCATCGATCTTCTCCGATCGTGCAATGGATTCCCCTCCATTCTCCACTTAGAGCTCCGACATTACTTGTACTCTTTCGAATTCTTTGTCGATTTCAGCAGCTGGCGAGCGACGGCCAATATTTTTCTTAAAGGTGAGACCTTTTATCGGCACTCGAGGCAGAGTAATTTTATTTTGGCTGACGCGGGATGGCATTGCAGTTTTTTGCTTTAGGAGGATTAAAGATTTTGTTTTTAAGATGAAGGCTTATAGTCATGCGGACAGAGTAAGGAAGATGAGCTTTTTGGATGAATGGAGGATACAGAGGATTATTTGTGAAGGTGGGGATTTGTTTGATATGATGCTGGAGGAGTATAATTTCAAGGAGCTTTTGAGTAAGATGGGGCCGATACCGAAATCGAAGTCGGCGATCAATCTGCGGTGGGATTCCTGCGGATGGAAACGACATCGAGGATGACGACGTGCGGGTGCGGATAAACGGAGTGGTAGAATTGAAGGAGATGAAGAATTTAGGTGGTAGATAAGTAAATACTAATGTTTAGGTGTTAGATATGTATTTTCAACAGTTTTAGGTGTTATGTATGTAAAAATCCCTAAAAAATAATAACAAAATTATTCCAAATTAAACCAAAATCTTAGCACTTCTTCTTTTTATTAAGTAGGTGGCTAACATTCATCAACATATTCAGCTAAGATTTCATTTGAGATAGTTTTCTTATTATTTTTTTTGTTCAGATCGCAAACATAGTTCCTATTTGATCTTTTAATAAATAATAACAAAATTATTCCAAATTAAACCAAAATCTTAGCACACCCCTCTCTGTGCATGCCATCAGCATCACTTACCCAACCCCTCTCCTTCTTACTCACATATCGGCACTCACCAACCAACTTCTCAATATACATGAGATCAATTACACATAAAGATCAAATTAATATTAAAAAAATAGTATTAAATGCTTAATTTTACAAAAAATAAAAAAAAAAATCATAAGGTAGACTCAGAGCTTGTGGTCTCAAAATCTTCACTTTGAGCTATTTTGTCTATTTTAACTCTGCAGAGTAGCTAACATTCCTATGCTACGTTACACCTCTCTAATATGTCTAAAGCTTGGCTCAATTTAGCGTTTGATTGAAATGTCCGTAACATTTTATAAAATTGATTGTCAAGTTGGTATAAGAAAAATAATCTAAATTGCAAGATACAACTTTTCATCATAAGAATTTTTTTAAAAAATGATGAATCAACTAGAAAATAATAACCAGACAAAACTATCTGAAATAGACCTTTAACCTCAAATAAAATGATGTAGATATTTTATCCATATAAAAGACCATCAAATGAATTGGCAATCTAAATTGCCTACTATCTAATTATTTAATGGCTTAAATTTTAAGTGTTTTGTTTAATTAAATGGCATAAGGTTTTCAGCTAATTTAAAAGATTGCAATTACTAAAACCCTAGCCTCAATTAGGCTAAGCAAAGGGAGCGGGGAGCATGAAAATAGGGGGAAAAACACACGATTCACTACCCATCGTGTGGAACCTTAAAATGGACAAATGCTCATTAAAAATTAAACTGAATGCATGATGTGTAATTTTAATAATGTTAAATTTAATTGAGGAATTGTGACTTTAGGCGATCAAGTCATTAAAAAAATACACATTTTAAAAACCTTCGATCTATTGGTTCAAAGTGATGGTGAAATTGATGGAGGTATTATTAGTAAAATCGAAATTGGATGGTTGAAATATAGGAATGCAGCTGGTATATATATTGTGTGATAGAAAAGAACCCCTTAAACTTAATATATATATATATAAATGATTGTAAGACTTGTAATGCTTTATGACACAACATTTTAGCCTTTAAAAAATAAGCATACAATTAAGTTTAGTGTTGAAGTGATGAAGATGCTCAGGCAATGAATGACTTTATTCTTAAAAACAAAATGCAAAACAAATATATACATGAAAAAATTGAAATAAATTTAATGACAAAAAAGATTAAAAAGAGTCGTATAAAACGCCAATTTTCCAATCTCTTGATTAGGAGGGTGGATGTAATAAATTTGATTTATGTTAAAAATAAATAAATATAGACCTAAAAAAAAGTTAGAAAATACCATAAATAATATTTTTATTAAATTTCAATAAGAATTTGACTATTAACCAAATACAATAAAGAAAAAAAATTCATATTATCTACCTCACGTAGTGAGATAGAGACGATGTTGTTATATTTGAGTGTTAAACTTCATTTGGAATATTTATCTTATTTCTTTCAATAATAACTATTTGATACCCAAAAAATAAAAAAAAAAATATTGAAAAAACAATTATCAAAAGATATCCCAAACAAAGTCTTAATCCTCTCACATAACCAAACAATAAAAAAAAAAAAAGAATTACTTCGTTTAACCATCAAAAATCAAATTTAGCAGTGAAACCATTCCTTGAGCATTAATGCTAAATATTCGAAAACTCTATGACTGCAGTTACGATAGTCCACAATCCAATATATTTCAATAGATTGCTAACTTTAAAGACAAGTAAATTTCAATGCAACTGAAAGTATAAATATGGCTGCCCAATTATTACGCTGAAATATTCACATAAAAACTCCCGCAAGCAAGGCCACAAAGTCGAAAAAATAGAATTACTCCATGTCTAAAGATCAGCCTTTCGATAAAATAGAAAAGCTAATAAAAGCTCTCTAATGCAAAGCCACAAAGTCGGTAATATAAAAAAAAAAAGTATCCCATCAAAAGGATTCAAAAGAACATCTTTGCACATAAAACGATAGCATTGATTTTTCAAAAAAATAATATATCAAATTTAAATTAGATTCTTGATTAAGAATGATCAGTTGACATGCCTGAGCTACCTCTGATTCTGAACCGAGTTTCTAAAAGTAGTACTATATGATTAGCCTTTGTAGAGTGATCATTTCTTTCTGGATGTAATCAGATGGTATTGTGGAATCTTTTTTTTTTCATGCAGAAATCCTTCCATTTGATGAGCTCTTAATAACAAACTAATTGTAAAAACAGAAAAAAGAAGAAAATTTATGGTCACCGAAGTTGGCAATAGTAAGACATCAGCACTAACATGACAATTACTGAATCAATAAGTGGGTCCATCGCAATATGGCAACGACCACCACCATGGGAATGGTTGCCTGATCTTCTTCCAGGAAATTATGATCTGCAAAAGAACAGCATAGATATGAAACCTAAAGTGTAGCAAATATATTAAGCAAAATTCAAGGCGGTTACAACAGCAAATGAACACAAAAAAAAAAAGAGAAGATAAAAAACTACCAAAAAAGACTCAGTAAAAAGGCCGATGCTCCCAGCATCCCAGAAGCCCCGCACGGACCATCCAAAAGGAGTTAGCATCACCCAAAATCCACCAATAAGAACTGTGCCAATGGTTGCCACCAGCAAGGCTAAAGGGAAACGAGCCCCAGCCACATCATTGCCCTATCAACCATCGCACCACCAAATCGCAAAAACCAACCCGTAGAAACAGGGGAAAAATACATTATACAGAAAGGTTATCTTCTCCTTCGTCCCCTCCCACAGAATCTCCCATGAGAAGCAACTGAGATAACAGGCCTATCACGAACCAAAGTAAAATCATTTCCAGGGTCCGATCCTCCACAAATATCCTGAGAAGCCAAACCACAATCCGAAAACTCGGATTCCGATTCAAATTCAGACGATCCATTCAGCCAATCCATATGGTTTCGCATATCAAATCCAGAATTTTCCCCCAAGCGATTGACCAAATTAACAGGAACATCCACTAAATTGTTAGAGCACACCGAATTTTCTTTCAAGTTATCTACTCGCACACTATCAACAATATTATCCACATTAACAACCGGATTGCATGCCGCCTCTACACCTGGCGAAGGATTTTCCGATATATTTTGAACAACAGGGACCACCACACCATGAACCGGAGCAACCAACTCCACAGACAGCAAAGCCTCATTAACATGCATAGAATTCGAAACCAGATGAGCCACCACACACAGAGAATTCTCACAAGGATTCACAGAGGGAACCAAATCAACAGCACCGTCCGCAAGACCGATACCATCCAACGAGGGAATAAAAGGTATAGCATTAGGAGACAAAACAGTAACAGCATCCTCCGAATTATTAGCAACAGCTTCCTGCACTACAGTATCCTCCCTAGAGAGATTAAAGTTCACATCAACAGGCTCAATCAACTCCGGCTTCCGGCACGGGACATCCACAGGTTTAGAAACTTTTAGAGAATGATGTAAAATAGGGCATAAATCCTTAGAATGGCCTAAGGAATTACAGTGCATGCAAAAATGAGGAATATCATCGAAATTTATAGTCTGAACATAGCCCGATTCCACAAAACAACCCAAATCTTATCAGCATGTTTCTTGGTAACATTCATTTCAACAAGAATACGAGCCATAGACGGATGGGAACAGGACGCAGTAGCCATATTCGACTAGAGTGGGCGACCAAACAGAGAACCTAATCCGAAAAGAATCCTAGGAGAAAATAGATGAGGCCTAAGGAGGGGGAAAGAAACCCAGATAGGCACAATAGGAGAATCCACCTCAACATCCAAATTGGGAGACCATTTCACTACTTTCATATAGCAATTTTGAACAAAATAAGAGCTATAGTGAAAATCCGGCAAAATCAAATCATTCACCAGTTTAATCAAAACATTCCGGTGATTAAGCACAGTGACCGAAAAATCCCTACGACTTTAATTGAAGCAAATTTGACCGAATAGCATCGATCGAAGGTCGTCTACCTGGAAAACGCCCAACCAAAGAAAATTCAAAGGGTGCAGCTAGCGACCGGACCTCTTCCTCAGAAATTAACAAAGCCGGCAAGCCACGATGAGAAGACACACTTAACTCAGGGAAGGAAGACGAAGAAATACAAGATAAAGCCTCCTTAAACGAAAGAGGCGCAAAAGCCCCAGTTAAAAATCCGGGATCACGAAGGCGAGCAGACGCCATAAGGTAAAAACAAATACCTGAAAATCAAAGGAGAAGAAAACCCTCAAATGACGTCGAAGGGGAAAGGCGGCGGAACCCTAGCAGAGCAGAGCAAGCCATTAGAATTTCTTGTGATTGTATGTAGTTGTACTGCGAAGTACTGTGATTGTATGTAGTTGTATAATAAATTGAATGCTAATTAGATAATCCATTTTATTTCATATTTAAAATATACCTTCTATAATATTTTATAATTAAAAAGTACATGTAATCAGGACTGAAACTAACTCCCCAGGAAACTACTGAAATTATTGAAACTACCGAAACAGCAAAATTTTATAATGGGTACCAAACTGAAGAAAAATTTATGTCAATTCACAACAGATTTATAGAGAAGGATCTGGCTGAAATAATTTTTTTCATAATCATTAATACGTGCATCAATCCCCATGAAGTCATTAGCTGACCAAGAAAACACCCAACACAGCATCATCTAAATTCACAAGGTGCTACCTAATGGAGCTAATTGATTGATGCTCAAAGTTTGAACTAGTATAAGTCCATTCACCCAACCAAACAGTTCATTTATGAGGAAGACTTACCTAGAAATTCACAAGGTGCTACCTAATGGAAGACTTACCTAGAAGAAGGATGGCAGATCTCAGCTCAAAGAAATTTATGCGGGGTTCTTCCCCTTTGTTATTACATTGAAAGTAACAGTATGAAATTTTTTATAAGATACTTGATGATGGAGCTCCTGATTAAAGAGTACCGCATATTACTTGATTTGGAATACGGCTGCGGAATTTGGAAGTGGCATCTGAGAAATCTATTAAAAGTTTTCTTAGGTGTTTTTCGGATATTTAGGAATAATTGTATTTTCTTTCTAGAATTTTTAGTTTGTTTCTTTTGCTTTCTTTTAGACTTATATTTGTTTTCTAAATTTATTCTAATTGCTTATGGGATCGGTATTAGATCTTATTTTTCAACCGGTTAGGAACTCTGGGATGCTAATCAAACTTACGGGTTGTTTTATTTTTGGTATCCCCTCCACCCCAAGGGTTTTAAAATGGGAAATAGTGGATCTCATTTCAATTATCATAAGTTTAGTTTAACAAATATGCTTTCAATAAGGTTCATTTCCCTGTTGGATCAAAGAACCCTTTGTTTTTATTCTAGCTTGCATTAGGGTGTTCTTTTTTTTCTTTTAATGCAAATTTGCATTTTTTCAAAAAAAAAAACCAAACAGTTCATTTTAATATCCTTTGGACAGACAATTTTAAGCATGCCTTAACTCGTCTTGGGTCCTCTAAATCGGAGCAAAAGATAAGCTAGGTGGATAAGCTTATCTCACAATAATTAAATAAATTTAATCATCAATAAATTAGATTGGTACTCCTATAAGTAGCTATTGGATCCATAGATTAGATCAAACAGTACTATTCTGAAGGAGGGCACTCCTTCACTAAGGCATGAATTCTTAGATGCTCTCAATTTTCATTTAGAAGGCAAGGTACAACTCTTCATATATCTGAAAATTTTTTTTCTTTTTTTTCAATTGACATTTTAAAAAGATTGTAGTAGAAAGCTTATTGAAGCCAGACATTTTTTAAAAATTTTTGCATGTCTTGAAAGTTCCATTTGCACTGCAAGTTTGATCTCAAACATACATGCACAAACAATCTAAGTCTAATTTTCATCAAAATATACTTAATAAGTGGTACTCCCACAATACTTGCATAACCATATTTCTCAATCTGTTTATCCTAATTCCTAATATTGCATGCATTCAACTTGAACATTCTCATTTCTTTCCCACTCAATTTGACACCTAAAAATACTTTCATGGCATGCAACTGATAAAAAAAAGATGGACCAACTAATTGAATTAAATTGACGAAGAGTATAGATTGCAATATAAGAATAAAATGATCAATCTTGTATGTCAACATTTTCAAGATTTGTAGCCAATACTACCCATGCACGTGCAGAATGCAATTAGTTTAAACCATATCAACGAGTAAAAGCCCAAAATAGTTCCCTGACTATTAGTAAATGTCAAATTTAATATCAGACTTTCATAAAGTCCTAATTTAGTCCCCCGACTATTAGATATCTCAATTTGATCTCAAGATCAAAATAAATAGTTAAAGTTAACCCGAACAATTAAATGTGAGGTTATTTTTGGGTATTGAAGTGTATGTGAAATTATATTATTATTTTTATATATTTTATTGTTTATCATATTAAAATAAATATAAAATTATAATGAAAGTTAACCACATTTATTAATTATTCATTCTTGTTATTTAATTGATTAACTTCTATTATGATTTTTTTTACTATGATAAATAACAAATAATATAAAATTAATAATATAATTTCACATACACCATAATACGTAAAATGCCCTCACATTTAACTATTGGGGTTAATTTTAACCGTTACTTTTGACATTGTGACTAAATTAGGACATTTTCTAATAGTCGAGCTTTGTTTGGGCCAACTTTTTTATTGCTTCTTAAAACAGCTTTCTAGTACATAAATTTTAATTTTTGTACTATGAAAGCTACTTTAAGAAACATTAAAAAAGCCAGCCATCCCAAACGAAGCTTAAATTGAGTCATTATGAAAGAATGAGACTAAATTGGATATTTATCAATAAGCGGGGAACTATTTTAAGCCTTTACACCATGTCAAAGTCGTAAGGGAGTTTGAATGTTTGTTTCAAATGTTTCAATGCAGAAAAACAAGAGAGGATTACTATTTTTTTCCTATGAATGAATTTAAAGCATTATATATTAAAGACGTTTGGCAAACTTTACCATGCATGGCATTACTGAAGTTGATCGCGCTGTCATTGAAAATGCAGAAACCAAGAAGTGGGACACTTGATGACTAACATGAAGTACCAACCACCTCATCAGAAGAAATGTCACGAGTGAAAGAAGCAACGGCACCACAGACCTGGCAAATTCTAATCGAAAACCAAATACACACCTAACTTTATAACGTCTAATGTTGAGGAAGGATTGGTTTCTTTTCCAATGCCTCATATGTAAGGACAAAATTGTCCTGCAAGAGAACAAAAAAGTACATTCAGCAGATAAAACATAAGCAAAAGAAATCAAATTACAAAATTCCAGGACAAATGTCCCTACCTTGCGAATAGTTTGCCATGTACTTGGATCGAAGTAATGATACGATCCCCTTTCATATGTTTGAGTCTTAACAAGCGGCTCTCCGATTCTCCTTAACCATAACTGAAGCTCTCTGTGGTAGACCCATCTCCGTGAATATCTGCCAATGCATGTGTTTTAGAAAAAAAAATATTTCCATGATGGAATAACAGGCAAGAGAGGAAAAGTAGGACAGAGATAAACACATGACATCTACCAGGCAAGTGAACACAATAACAAGTGCAAAGATATGGGCAAACAGAATTCTTAACCTGTAGGAGAATGTTTTAAATATTTATGCGTGTTTGAGACTGCGAGATCACACAAGCACATTCCACCCAATTAAATGAACCAAATGTCCAATAAATATCCAAATATTCATTTCGGAGCATCCAAATGTAACAAACTTAAATTTTCAAAGCCAATTAATGCTTTATTGGTTGCAAATTGTCCTAATATAATTGTTTGCTCAGGTAAGAAATGTTAAAATAATACTCTAGCCAAAAAAAGATCCTTAAAGATTCTCAATGGTTCGTGATCTATATAGCCTAAATACTCCTATGTGATTTACATTTAGTGTATCAGTCCAATAGCATAAGGAAATCCTAAAGCCTAAACCATCATGCATCAGATACTGTTACAAGATCATCTTCTACTTACAACCAAGAAATACAGAATTTCAGCCATCACAACTTCTTGCGCACAGATTTCAAATATGAACCACAAAATGTAAAACTTATTAGTATTGACAAACAAATTTTGAAAGGCAAAAGAAATAACTTGATCCACGTAGGTTACATAAACAGAAGTCAGATCAAAAAATTGCTAATAGAGTGCAGGAGAAAAGACCAGTAACATAGTAATTGTTATTTTGGCAGCCTTCATCTTTCCCTGACTACTTGCACAAGAAGAATAACAATACCAATACTCAATCATTTCAACATCTCCGAACAGGTGAATGTAAAGCAGAAATCTAACATTCATATAAAGACAGGAGAGGAAGGAGCAAATTACAGTTCATAAGCAGCAAACAACTGAGCTTCATCCTTTGGCATGCTGCAGAAAAGAGAAGGTATAACTTAAGGAAATTAATGTCATCAAAGCAAATACTGAGAGGAAAATAATCAGGAGCAGACCTGTAAAAGATGTAAAATAGTGTCCCATCATTGAACTTCTCAAAATGTCCTTGCTGTATCAGAAGAACATGTTCAGCGCCACTAATTAATGGAGCAAATATCTACACTATCTATTAAAGGCAGTAGTAGAAGTTGTTCTACCTTTAATGTTGGATGTGGTTTAGAGTTATAACAAGTTGGAATGCAATACTCGGACTCTCCTTTGGCTGGCTCATCAGACCATGGGGAATTAAATTTCTTGTGCAAATCACCTGGTGGGCTTAACAAATTCAATCCCAGAGTTGTGAGATCCATCCCCATAGCAAGGGATGTGAGATTTGGGTCGTTTACTCTGATTACGCTCAACAAACCCAACAAACCAAACCTCTCAGACATCTGCGTCCCTTGCATGGACTTCAGACTATGATCTTTATATGATTGATTAATAGCAGACATCTGTTGCAGGCGAAGTTGAGATTGGTTATGCGAGTGTTGATATTGCTGAATAAGTTGATCATAAGGTCCACCGCCTGAAGCTGGGTTTTGAGAACTTAATGCTCTTAATCCAAGGCTAGGAGTATTCTGAACCTGAAAGATAACAAAGAAAGGTTCATTCATTGGAATTATGTAGAAACATCAGGAACATGCCTGATTCCTTAAAATTGAAGTATTAACTTGAGAAGCATACCTGAGACTGATAGGCTCCATGTGAAGATGGAAACAAATCAGAGCCATATAGATGGAGAAGGTCTTGATTGCTTCCAGCTGCTAAAGAGACTCCACCAGAAGTACTAACAGGGGTTGAATGCTGCTGGTGTTGCTGACGATTTGATGGATAGGCCACTCCATGGCTAAATCCAGTAGACCCCCCAATCTGCATGATTAATAATATATTTTATCATCAAATAACTAGAATAACTATAACTATTAGTTGACAATTTAGCTTGAAAATTACACTCACGGCAAAGTTTTGTGACTGCATTACAGAAACATTTTCATGAGGTTGCTCCTTCTGATGCAAATCCATTGCAAATTCTGAGTTTCCACCTAAACAAGATCAATGCCATAAAATACAGCAAATAGGAAGTAATATAACTGGCAGCATCACTACCAAACAAACACGACAGGAAGCGCACAAAGTTGATTTGAAAGAATTAAAACAGAAAAGGGTAAAATCAATAATAAGAAAGACTTGATGAGCAGATTTTAAAAAAAAAAAAAAAAGAAGAAAAGAGACGTGTGAGCCATTAAACCAGCAATCTTCATTTAAGATCAAACAAAATACAAAAATGTTTTGTACAGCATATATTTCTATCAAAGCTACCCTTTATTCAAAAAATGAGTGATAAGCAAATTCCCAGCAAATGCATATGGAGATTGATTGTCAACCACGTAAGTCCTTAATAAATGAAAAATAATCCTTTCTTTTGCATACTGGGGCAGACCTTTAACAAAATTAGGGACAGCAACAACGCTGGGCAGTTGTCACAGCCCAAATCTGGTTTCCAAAAAGGGTTGTCTGGACCTGAATCATGAGTGCATGAAGAACATTCAACAAAACCCACAATGAAGTTGCCAACCCAGACAAACTCAATTAACACATTGAATGGAGTCAGCCAAAGAAGCCACCAGCATTAGACCGAATGCATGCGAAGAACAAAACTCGAACCAGAGCAGTAGTCCCCCGACTTGGCCTAGTTGGAAAAGAAAGAAACACTAGCCAGCCCATGGTATAGGAAGCACAGTGTAATAACAAAGCAATACATAAATGACTGAATCGAAATAGTCATTAAGCTAAATAACCTATCAAATACAAAAAGAACCAAACAGGAACAGCTAATACAAATGACTATTACAAAGATAAAGTCATGGAAGGCTTTCCTATGAACTTCCAAATAACTCTCACCAGCCACCCACTCCGCCAATCTATTTGACAATCCACTAGCTAAATCTTCCCTACTTGCACACCCGAAATATTCAAAGCCTTCACTTGTACACATATAAATCAACTGGGTGATATACACAGTGAAAAATAAATCATAAAAAAATAATATTATATGAATAAAAGCTAGCTCAACTTGAGATATAACAACAAATACATAACTACAAGCCAACATTCATTCTGAAGATCTGGCGGTTACCAACTGCTCCTTTAAAGCTTCTCCAAATGCCACCAAAATCAATGTTTTCAATTAGGCCCAAAAAGTACACATTATCAATTTATCATTCAAGCTTCACCCCAAGAGGCAAATCCTTGGTTGCATAGACTGACGTCATGATAAAACTCAACATTTACGTGATTATTGTAATGTCCATTGCTACAGTACCTAGTCTACCTGCAATAACCTAAAGTGAACCTAGTAAGAACTATATATTTATTTAAGTGTTTGTGAATTTTTGTGAATATGATTTAAGTAGAAAATTAGTATCTGAAAATTATTTTTTGGAAGCACTTCGACACAAAGCTCTCTGTCTGGGTGAATAAAATTTATGTCCTTGTAAGCGTAGTAGTGCTGGCCTTTGTGGCGTTGTCTTCCCTATTTATTAGAAAGCATTCAGGAGCGCTGAGGTCGTTATTCATGAGAAAATTCCATAAACAAAATCCCTTGGGACCACGGTAGCGTTGGGGAGGTCAAAGCTACGGAGCTAGCATAATTTCAATGTTTTTATATAAATATCTTACTAAGCTAACACCCAATTCTTCATTACCATTTGCTTGGAAATGTCGAGAGAAGGGCCAGAGAGGAGAAAGAGGAAAGAGGGAAAGGGAGCTAGGATCTAGAAGGTTGTAGAGCTAGATTCGTTAGTCTTTCCAATAGAAGAAATTATTCGTCTCGAGGTAGGCTGATATTACTCTCTTCAGTTTTCAATTTAGATAATTTGGATAAAAGTTATAAGAATTATTTGGTTTAAATGACTTTAGGAAACTTTCCACCATATAATTTTTGGTATGTCATAGAATAGACAATTCTGAGCAATTTCACAGAAAAAATTCGAAGTTTAACCGGGTGATTTTAAATGTGTGATTTTTAATATGCTTTACTAATTATATTAGTTTAACATAAAGTGGATAATAAGCATGCAAAAAGCTTCAGCAACAAACTACATTAAATTAATTATGATTTTCCCCTAACTCAAGCGGATAATAAGAAGAATTAATCGAAAGCACTATTTAAAATTGTGCAATATGAGACTCATTTAAGCACAATTCCAATGATTGTAAATGTGTGATTTTCATATGCTTTACTAATTATATTGATTTTAACATAAAGTGGATAATAAGCATGCAAAAAAACTTTAAGAGCAAACTACATTAAATGAATTATGATTTTCTCCAACTCCAGTAGATAATAAGAAGAATTAATCAAAAGCATTGTTTAAAATTGCACAATATAAGGCTCTCCTCAGCGCAAATCCAGCGAAAAATATCTCGAGGTTTACACCTCAAACTTTTTTTATGAGGCTTGCACCTCAACTTGGATGAGGTCCGCCTTGAGGCACACCTTGCCTCACTGGCATGAGGTGTACGCCCAACCCAATTATATATTTTATTATTATTATTATTATTAAAACTTATATAAATCTTAAACTAAAGCCCCAAACAAATCATACATTCATGCACCCTCGAGTTGCAGCAACTTCTTCTCAACTGTCTCAACCTCCAACTCGCCGCCTTTGTAATAGCCACATCATAGCCACTATCGAGGATCACTTGAAAGCCACATAGCACTACCACCTCCTCTAAACATCTTGGTGTATTATTCTCATCTTTATATTGACAACAAATATTTATAAAACTGAACGATGATTGAAATAAATGAAAAAATAAGTAAATTGGGAGGCATTGGACTCCAAGGCAGTAGAGATCAAATTGTTATGACGAAGACTCAAATAAAGACCCTCTCATTGATGACAATGCAGATGATTTATGAGTTATTAGCAACTATTTTAGCTTTTTATAGGAATTAAATGTGGATGATTAAGAAACAGAGAAAAATGAAATTTAGAGTTAAACTTCATATTATATGATACTTTTATGCAATTCCTATATTTTATATTATTTTGCTCTTGTAATATTTGAATTTCAATTCTACTTCATGCAATTTATCACTTGCACTTTACATCTTGTGCGACTTTTTGTTTTATATGTACGTTAATTTGTTATTTTATAGTTCAATAGAAAGTTAATATATCATTCTTTAACATATTATTTGGATATTATATAAGAAATTACTTTTAATCTTTATTTTCATTTAACACAATTTTTTTAATTTTGAGACCTACGCCTCACCCACCCAATTGTGTAATTTTAAACCTTAATAAAAAATTTGATCAATCCCTTCTAAATATCATCACCCTTTATCGGAAGTTACTCAAGAATAGTATAGCCTCCATATGTTAAAACTCGACCACTTATTTATAGGCACTAAAAATAAGGTCATTCTAAAGCTGGTTGAAATGCATTATACCATATAAATTATGACAATATAAAGGGTATGCAAAAATTCTCATGAGGGATTGGCCGGCCACCCGAAGATCTGTCTCAATTATTCCACTTTACACTGGGCTTGTGAACAGCAAGTGAGAATGGTGAGGACATCCGACCGTGGAAAGATTATTAGAAAAAAATCTGGAGATCTACGACCACAATCACGCCGATTTATTTTTTGAGTCATTTTATGTATTAGATTTATTTTAGCACTTTTCCATTTCTACCCTCACTTGAGGGCCTAATCTTATGTGTTCCCTAGGGGCAAGTTTGTTTTTTATTTCTTTCATTGTATGGGGCTAATTATAAGCCCCTTATTTTTCTTTTGAGGGAATGAATGATATTATAAAAATTTTTGCACTTATGTGTTTTGAAAGAGCTTGAGAATTCTAAGAGAGAGCTTTAGTAAAGTCCCTTGGGGGAGAGCAACGCCCCCCCCCCCCCCACCAACCGTAGGAAGCGTCCGGGTTCGTGATTTTATCTTTCACTATATTTTCCGCCTCCGTCTCCTCCTCTCTCAACCACACATCAAATTTCCTACAAAAGCCGCCGGCCTAGCACCCAGTCCCTTATTCCTTTCTCAGTCAAAACCCCACCGGCCACCAATCCCATCCTCCCTCCCCCTTTGCCGCCCGGCCAAAACCACCCAAGCCCTCACCCGCCGGCCCTATTTGCCCTTCCTTCCTTTCTTTCCCAATCTCCTATAGGGAAAGAATTGAAGACTTACCTAATTTAGATCATCTTAAATTTGGAAAGATTTCAAAATCAAATTTATTTGGATTTGAATCTTTTCCTAAGATAAGATTAATCTAATTTAGACACTTTTCAAATCTCTTCAAACCTGAAATAATTAAAGATTCTCCCCTAATTCTCTTTCCTTAATTAACATCCTATGTTTGGAAAGGGTTTCAATTCCCCCATGCATGGCCGACCCACCCTCTCTCTCTCATTCAAATAAATCAAATTAATGCTCTTCCCATCAATTCTCCAATCAAGCCCTTCCTATGCCATTAATGCTCCACAAATCATTCAATCAAGGCCCAATTACTTGCCCATTCAAAGCTGAAATTAATTTCAGATTTCTAAATTATTTCCATCCCCTATTCAAGTCAAAATTTTATGGAACTAAATTATTCTCCCCTCCTATCTGTGACCGGCCACTACCCCAACCTCTCCCACTTAAACTAATCAATCAAACCCTGAAATTTTACCTTGCTAAAGTGCTGCCCAGAATTCCGGAGTTTGCGAACCTGCTATCCAGAGTTTCCCATAGGCCAAAGCTGCTGTCCAGGTTGTTGTAGTTGATGTCTAGAGAATTCTGCACCTCCCCATTGCTGTCCGGCAAGCCGATTTGTTGTCCAGCCCTCCTGAAGACCACCCTTTGCTGTCCAAGAGCTCCCGATCCCTCCTAGTAGCTATCCAGACTTGTGAAAAGGCTCCCGATTGCTGTCCTACTTTGGAAACAACCACACATCGTCACCGTTGTCTCGTATCTCCTGATTTTGGGTAAACTACCTCCTTTCCTTACACCTTTTAAATCTTCCCTCAATCGTGGCATTGTTTATTTATGAAGATCTATCCGCATGACCCAAATTAAGAGTGTAAGTAAGCGGATTTTCATAGCTAATCTAATTGTTAAATTAGGGATTCTTTATTGAAAACCCTACATTTGCATGGTATAATTTGATATGATTGTTTTATGATCCACTTCTTTTCTCGTGTAATTGACTACTTAAGCTTAATCACCAATTTTTGGCTTAAAAAGTAAGAAGTTAATTAGCTGCAAAGCTCTATTCTTATTCGTGTAAGTACAATCGCTTGCATTCATTTTTACATGTAGTTCTACATCAGAGAATCAAAGCAATATCAAATTTCCAGCAAACAGTGATGCGGACATCCAACCGTCCATGCCAATCCGAGGAGATGAAGATTGACGGTCGTGATTGTCATGCCTTATCTGAAATTTTTATTTTAATTATACATTTTTCGTTTTTACCCTTACTTAAGGGTCTAATCTTATGTAAGCTCTAGGGGTATGATTGTCTTATTTTAGTCTTTTATTTCTGAGGCCTATATATAGAGGTCCTTGCTAGTGTAATGGTAAGATGGAGTTTTAATAAAATTTTGTTATGCACTTTTGTTTCTTGGGAGGACTTAGGTGAGATCCCTATGAGAGGGAATCGTAGTTTCCACCAGCAGCAGGACGGGTCTGGGCTCGTGGCTTAAAGTCCCTTGGTGAAGGGCAACGCATCACCCGTCAGCCGCAGGAAGTATCCGGGCTCACGGTTTTATCTTTTTCTTTGTTTTGTCTCTCCTTATTTTTCCTTTAGCCACAAGCTAAATCTTCCCCTAGTCATCAGCTTTCTACCACCCATCCTTCCCCACCACCCTAGTTCACAGCCAACCTCCACCGCTAGCCTCCTCCTCGCCGGATCCCAAAGCTCCGACCAGTTTTCCCCTAACCGCCGGCCTATCCAGCCTTTTGATAGGAAACACTTGGATTTCCAAGTGTTTTTCACCAAAACCCAATAGATCTAGGATGAAAACTGCTGTCCACACAGGAAAACAGCCAAAAACAGTGGAATCGGAGAGAAAACGAAGGAGAAAACGTAAGAGAAAACAAGGCAAACACTTTCATTTTAATAAGGGATGAAAATCACTTGCAAGATACAACTTTCCTTCAATTCGAGAGGAATGAAAAACTCTCCAAATCTCTAGCGTAGCCTAGAGCCCAAGAACACAAACCCTAGATCTCAAAAATGATTCAAATTCCAGATGCCCTCTCTCCCCCCTATTCCTCCCAATTAAACATGAAAGGAGGGTTACAATTTACCTAATTACCCTTCTCATTCAAATATTCCCTCCCAAAATTGAATTCACATCAAGTGGGCCCCCCTTGATGTTTCTGCCCCCCTCTGGCTGGGCTTCTTCCGCCGGCTGTAAGCCAAGACCGGTCCAGGGTGGACCGGTCCAGCCGGCCCAGGATGGGCCGGCGTAACACCTTTCCCCATAGGATCCTCAATTCCCTCTTTCATTTATGGCCTTCCTATTTCAGTCCCCCCAATTTTAGCATCAATTTGAATTCAATAATTCAAATTTGAATTTGAATTTTTTTCCTAAATTAGGTTCTCTATTTTATGAAAGTTATTTAAATTAGATCCAACTAAATTTCTAATTGGATTTAATTTAAATTATTTCTTCATAAATTAAGATCCTAAATAAGGCAATCTCTAAATCCCTTTCCCTAAGCCCTACTCCACCCCACCATAACACCGGCCTCTCCCTCCACAACCCATTGATTTTCAAATTCAAATTGCTTCATAATTACTTTTCTAATCTAGTCAATTATTAATTTGGAAAGCCTTTTATTTTGAATTCAAATAAATTTGAATTTCAAAATCTTTTCAAATTAGTTCAACTATTTTAGGAACCCCCTCCCATCACCCCCCCCCCCCCACCAATCTCTCCAATTCTGAATTTTAAATTCAGATTTAATTTTTCCAATTTTTCCAATCATATTCAATACAAGGGTCCATATACATCGAATCTGGACACCCCATTCCCTCCCTCCTTGGTCGGCCCTCTCTCTCTCCTCTATCCTAATTATTTTCTCCCTAATTAAGGGCCCAATTAAGGAGATAATTAACCCCTCTCTTCCCTCCCTTCCCTTCTTGTTTGAATTCAAATTCAAATCCCTTAATTAAGGAAAATCTTAATTTGAATTTCAGATCTTTAATTTTTATTCCCCCCTTCCTTCATTCTACATCAATTTAGTATCAGAGCATGGTTGCTCACCCGGGACGCGAACTCGACGGAATCGAGCTTTTTTCCACCCCGAGAGAATGATGCGGACATCCAACTGTCCATGCCTATCCGAGGAGGAGATGAAGATCGACGGTCGTGATCGTCCTACGTTATATTAAATTTTTATTTTAATTATGCATTTTTCGTTTTTACCCTTACTTAAGGGTCTATTCTTATATAAGCTCTAGGAGCATGATCGTCTTATTTTTGTTTCTTTTATTTCTGAGGCCTATATATAAAGACCCTTGCTAGTGTAATGGTATGGAGTATTAATAAAATTTTGTTCTGCACTTTTGTTCCATGGGACTTAAGTGAGATCCCTATGGGAGGGAATCGTAGTTTCCACCAACCGCAGGATGGGTCCGGGCTCGTGGCTTAAAGTCTCTTGGTGAAGGGCAACGCATCACCCGTCAGCCGCAGGAAATGTCCGGGCTCACGATTTTATCTTTTTCTTTGTTTTGTCTCTCCTTATTTTTCCTTTAATTGTCGGCTAAATTTTCCCCTAGTCATCGACTTTCTACCACTCATCCTTCCCCACCACCCTAGTCCACGGCCAACCTCCACCGCTAGCCTCCTCCCCGTCAGATCCAAATAAATTTCAACCCATCACCCCCCCCCCCCCCCCCACAAAAAAAAATAAAAAATAAATTGAACATCAATTTGAATTTGAATTTAATTTCCTAAATCAGGTTCTCTATTTTAGGAAAGTTATTTAAATTAGATCAAAAAATTTCTAATTGGTTGATTTAAATTATTTCTTCCTAAATTAAGATCCTATTAAGGCAATCTCTAAATCCCTTTCCCTAAGCCCTAGTCCACCCCACCATGCCGCCGACATCTCCTTCCACAACCCATTAATTTCCAAATTCAAATTGCTTCATGATTACTTTCCTAATCTAGCTAATGATTAATTTGGAAAGCCTTTTATTTTAAATTCAAATAAATTTGAATTTTAAATCTTTCCGGCATCAGTTCACATATTTTTAGAAACCCCCCCCCCTCACCCAAACTCTCCAAATTCTGAATTCAAATTTAATTTTTTTCAATCACATTCAATGCAATGGACCATTGTTGTAAAAATTGCGCAATATGAGGCTCGCCTTGAGGCCCGCCCTTTACGCAATTCCAGTAAAAATCGCCTCGATGCTTACGCCTCGATTTTTTTTTATGCAGCTTGCGCCTCAACTTGATTAAGGGACCCGTCTTAAGGCCCGCTCGCCTCGACTGGCATGGACTTACGCCTCACTCTATATATATTAAAACTTACATAAATCTTGAAGTTAAATGCCCGACATTGGACTCTATAGGAGAGGAGAAAAGAGAGAGAGCAGTTCATCATAATGATAATTCAAATGAAGAACCCCTTAGTGCTATAATGTTCATGATTTATGAGTTCTTATGCGATATTTGTCATTGCTATTTTTTTGGAAATTGGAATTATATGTTAATGAAAAGAATACTGGGATGTGGAAAGATAGAATTTGAGTTGAAATTATATTTCATGTTGTCTTATTATTGGGATATTTTGATTTCACTTCATATCTTATGTTTTTTTTTTATGTTTTATATTATTCACTCATTAGTATATAAAAAATTTATCATTTTATGTTTACGCAATCTTTTGATTTTGAGGCTTACGCCTCAAAACGCCTTGAGGCTTACGCCTCGCCTCACGAATGAAAAACGCCTCAATACCAAAATACGCAATTTTAAACATTGCAATGGACCATATACATCGAATCTAGACACCCCCTTCCCTCCCTCCTTGGCCGGCCCCTCTCTCTCCTCTATCCTAATTATTTCCTCCCTAACTAAGGGCCCAATTAAGGAGATAATTAACCCCTCTCTTCCCTCCCTTCCCTTCTTATTTGAATTCAAATTCAAATCCCTTAATTAAGGAAAATCTGAATTTGAATTTCAGATCTTTAATTTTTATTCCCCCCCCCCTCCTTTGTTCTACATCAAACTGCTACATTCAACCTTCAACTAAAATTATCAAATCACCAACAACCACAACTTCAAAGGCCTTAGAAATGAGAAATATAACAACAACAATAAATGGGCATAAAATATAAGCAAACAATCAAATGACAAGTACCAAAATAGAAAAGAGCACCAAAGAAACATTGTGGAGATAAACAAATGGATGAAGAGCTAAGTTAGAGATCAAAAGTTGTCTATGAGGGAGGTGGAGGAAATCACAATATCCAGTACATTCTGAAAATAAAAATTCCCGTCTGGGAGAAATACATTTGGTCAAAACCTCCTGAATGCTAAAATTATGGAGACTTCAGCCAGCAAATCCAAATAAAATATCCATCATTCTTAATTTTGATGGAAATGAACCAAATACCTTTATAACCAGGCAAAGCAGGAAAATCTTCATTCTGGATACTAAATTCCTGATTTTGTTGCACTATCGAACTAACACCAATACCTTGTTTCCGCAAGGAACCTGCATTTCAAGAGGATTATTAGAATCTTTCAATAATTACATAGTACATAATAGATAAGTACACAAAAAGTTGACGAGTTACCCAACTGACCCTGAGGCCCTCCAGCTGAACTAGGGCGCCCAGTTAACTGAGGGAAATCATTTATGTCGAAAGGAGAGCCCTCATTTGAATTGGCATCATTTAACATTCCCATAGAGCTTAGCAAGCTATTCCCTCCTTGCAATTGCCGTGATATGGGTCCACCGGACATGTTATAAGAGTTCCTAAGCATTCCCATCATTTGAGGAGCTGTTAATTCACGCAAATTTTCATCTTTAGTAATGAATATATACTTCGAGTAGAAGCAATGTTAAGACAAAAAAAAAATGAAATCCATCCACTGAAAAATAAACTTAAACAAACTAAAGATTGGATAGAACTCCATTATTAGAGATGATTGAATTACATCCTTGGTCTTCACCTCACATTATCAATAATTATTAGCCAGAGTGAGATGATTGTTCGTAAAAGACAACCCAATATACCTGATGGCAAAAGCAGATTAGACAACAAAGGCCAAAACATAGTTTCTACCTCATTAGTCAAAGCATGGTACAGACAGACTGACTCTTAAGACATGGAAAATTACCAGGTGAACAGATGCGGACGTCCAACCGTCCATGCCTATCCGAGGAGGAGTTGAAGATCAACGGCCGTGATCATCCTATGTTTTCTTAAATTTTATTTGTAATTTTTATTTTTAATTATGCATTTTTCTTTTTTGCCCTTACTTAAGAGTCTTGTCTTATATAAGCCCAAAGGGCAAAGTTGTCTTTTCATTTCTTTTAAGGCCTATATATAGAGGCTCTTCCTCTTGTATGAAATCAATGATGAATTAATAAAAAATTTGTTTTCTACACTTTGTTCTTGAGAGCTATGGGAGTTCTTAGGAGAGTGGAAGTCCCTATGTGAGGGAAACGAAATATCCACCAGCCGCAGGATGGGTCCGGACTCGTGGCATGAAGACCCTTGAAGAAGGGCAACGTAGTACCCGTCAGCCACAAGATGTGTCCAGCCTCGCGGTTGTATCTTTTATATTTTGTTTATTTATTTTTGTTCCTTCTTATTGCTTCTCGTCGTTATCTTCATCCTCTTCACCGTCCCCCTCCTTCCGGCCATCCCCAACACCAACCACCACCCCCATAACCCCTCCTACCAAAGCTCACCTCAACCTAACCATCAACCCAGTCCCTTTTCTCCATTAGCTCCCCCACCGCCCCACCCAAGCCAAGCCACCGCCGGCCACCCTTGTTTGTCTCCATGAATGAGGAGCCAATGTCACCTTAATGCTTACCTAAAAAGTTCAAATAATTTAGGAAATTATTTTCATCATTTGAAATTCAAATAGTTTCCTAAATTAGAAAGCTATTATAGGGAAGTATTGAATCTCATTCATGATGTAATTCAAATTTAATTTGGGTGGAATTTTTCTTCTCCTAAATTAAAGAGACAATTTAGGAAAGGGATTTAAATTTCTCCACAAAACTCCCTCTCCCCCTATCTCCATGCCGTCGGCCTCCACATGGTCCCCACCTCTTTCTTTCCCCCATTCAAGCTTTGTTTCCTAAATTAGATTGAGGCGAATTTGGATAGATTTGAAAATTGATTTGAAATTCAAAATCTTTTCTAATTTATCAAATCTATTTTAGGAAAGTTCTTTAATTCAATCAATTTGAATTTCAAATTCAAATAGGATTTATTTAAACACTTTCCTAAATTTTAAAGCCTTAAATGAAGAACCCAAAATCACCTCCCCAATCTCCTCCTCTATCATTAAACCACCGACCCCCCCTTTCTAATAAATCCTAGGGATTTATTTCCAAAAATCCCTAATCCCTCTTGGAAAGAATTCAAAATCCTCCACTTCACCTGGCCGAAACTCTTACCTAAGAAGCCCTCTCATTAAATCTTGCCAAAACTCAATTTTCTAAATTAGAATTCACGTCATTCCGTCTTTCTCCTGCTGGCCGAACTTTCCAACACCTGTGCATTAAGTTCCCTCCACAAATCTCTCCTCAAATTCCATCTCACGTGGAGTTTTCTGCCTTCTAAGGCTGCAGCCAGAGAATTCCAGCAATTGTCATTGTTTTCCCAGCCACTTGGAGCTTCAAAGCTGCTGTTTTACAAGACCAATCTGCTACCCAAGGGCTCCCAGCCTTCATACAATTATTGTCCAAGTTTCTGGCCATCTCTAGGATTTCTGTCCTGAACTTTTCAGCAAGGAGTTTTGCTGTCCAGCCCTCCGGAACAATACCGTTCACTGTCCAGACATTTCTGGACATTATTGGATTGCTGTCCAGGGATTTCCAACAAGAAGAGCTGCTGTCCAAGACTTCTAAAAATCCAAAGCTGCTGTCCAAGACTTCTAAAAATCCAAAGCTGTTGTTTAGACTTCTGTATTTTCTCTTCAAGACCCATAGAAATCAAATCGCCATACCCGTTCTACATCATGAACAGAATGTATTTCCATTTTCATTAAGCTTGAAAATAATGAAGAAATCCAAAGTACAATATGCTATATGCTGAACACACAGATAAGAAATTCATTCAGCAGTTTAGGACTCCCATTACAGGGTAAGCTAATTAATAAATGATGAGATTAACAGAGGTACGGTAAAATCTTCATGCCCATATGAAAAAGGAAAAACTAAATGGAATTACCAAAAGCTCTATGTACACCAAAAACATCAACACTGCTAGTTACTACAGTTTTCAAGAGAGCGACGCAGGTTTATGTACATGCAAAAGCTGATAAACTGACTTGCATTACAACTTGAAACTAGCAATACAATGCCAATGACTGGTCACACTACAATTTCAGAAACACAATGATGTCTAATAAATAATTGTCTAAGTGTGATGAGTGATGAAGGATGCCACAGAATCTAATGCAAACTTGCAATTTCGAAAACAATGCAATAAACACATAAAAATTCACAATACACCAACCATTAATCTAAAACAATTAACTATTTTGATGAAAGGAAAAACACGAAAGAAATCAATTCAAACTATTGCAAGCTGCTAGAAATTAACTAGAATTAAGTATCACAAAAGCAATTCCCACAACTGAAATAATAGCTAGAAATCCAGATTTAAGATGGTAAAAACTTAATAACATATAAAAACAACAACAACAACATCAGCTTTTATCCAACTACATGGGGTTGGCCATCTGAATTTTTTTTCTCCATTGTGTCCTGTTAAGAGTCAACTTCTCATTTAAATCTAATAAAGAAATGTCATTTCTAATGTTTTCTAACCAAATCTTTCAGGTCTACCTCTACCTTTATTAACATAGATCAAATTTAATATATCTACTCTCCTAACAGGGCCATCGGAAGGCCGATGTTTTACTTGACCAAACCATCTAAAGAGACTCTCTCTAATCTTATTTATCACTAGAACTACTCCAACCTTCTCTTGGATATGCTCGTTTCGTATCCTATCTCTAAGAGTAAGTCCACTCATTAACATGAGCGTCCTCATCTCAGCAACACCTTTTTTTTTCTCATCTCAGCAACACTTAACTTAATATTATGCTTCTCTTTTAATGGCCAACATTGTGCGCCATAAAGCATTGCAGGTCTCACCACCATCTTATAAAATTTTCCCTTAAGATTGATTGGTACTTTTCTATCACACAACAAGCCCGATGCATTCCTCCACTTCAACCATCCAACTTGAATTCTACTAATAATATCTCTATCTATTTCACCATCACTCTAAACAATAGACTCAAGATATCTAAAATATGTACTCTTATTAATGACTTGATCGCCCGAATTCACAATCCCACCACTACATCTATTATTACTAAAATTACACCCCATATATTCATTTTTAGATCTACTCAAACGAAAACCTTTTGACTCTAAGATTAACCTCCATAATTCAAGTTTACCTTCAACTCCTTTTGTAGTCTTATCAACAAGAAGAATGTCATCAACAAAAAGCATACACCAGGATACAACCTATTGCAAATTCCTAGTGAGAACATTAATGACTAAAGCAAAAAAGATTGGGGCTTAAGACTGATCCTTAATGTAATCCAACTGAGAGGAAAATGCTTGGTCAAACCACCTTGTGTTTGAACACAAGTAACAGCTCCTACATTCATATCCTTAATGACTTGAATATAAATATTATTAACCCCTTTTTTTTCTAGAACTCTCCATAGCACTTCTCTTGGAACTTAGGGTGCGTTTGGGACTGCTACAGTTGTCGGTAAGGTGGGTTGCAAAATTATTGTACAAAAAGCTGCTTTCAAAAATTGTTGTACATAAAGCAGTATTTGTTTGGGAAGTATAACTGTCAAGTTGCTGTGCTGCAGCTGTATGAGAATAAATTACTTTTATACCTTTATATATTGAGATGAAAAAAATGATGTAAATGTCAAATTTTTCAAAAAATTTATATGCTAATAAACTAACAATTCTAAAAAAAAAATTGTATTAATTTTTATGAAATATTTTATAACTATTAAATACCATAATATAATTTTTTTATAATCTACTATCATATTTTAAAATAATCTGGAAAAAAAATTATACTTCATACTAAATATACTTTTTCTAATAATAATATAATTATAATATATTTTTTAGATTTAATTAAAAAATTAATAAATATGTAATTACATGTCATGAATAACTATTTATTGCAAAAGATTGAAGGTTCTTTCTTAGGAAGTTGACTCCTTGGAAATCTTCTCAGCCTTGGAAATGACCTCATCAATACCGCCCACCATGTAAAATGACTGCTCAGGTAGATCATCATAGTTACCATCAAGAACACCCTAAAAGCCACTGATACAATCCTTCAAGTCCACACTTTCCAGGTGCACCAGTGAAAACTTCAGCAACATGGAAAGGCTGGCTCTGGAAACACTGGATCTTACGAGCACGAGCAAGGGTAAGCTTATCATCTTCACTAAGATCATCCATTCCAAGAATTGCAATGATATCTTGAAGGCTCTTAATAGTTTTGAAGAACCTTTTGAACACCACGACCAGTGTTGTAGTGCTCTTCTCCTAAGACATGGGGAGAAAACATTCTAGATGTGGAATCAACACCCTCTTTCCCCGTACAAGTCCCTTTGTTATGTCCATAGCGATCGTCCTCAACAACTAAACGATGCGGCAGAGGAGGAAACCAGTGGGTTAAGGGCGAGAGATCAGGGAAGGAATGGGAGGTCTGGGATTTGGGAAGGAGGATTTGGGAAATGAGAAAGGGCGAGAGGAAATGCGGAGTAAGGAAGCAAGGATCCGATGTGAGGCCATGGCAAGCAAGAGCTAGGTTAAATGGTTGCTTATCCGAGATGTATGAGCTTGAGGAGGAGGATGATGGTAGTCGGAAGCGGTGCGGAAGGCTTTGGACGACGGTAGCGAATATTTGCAGTAGGATTTATGTCATTTTTCTGCCGAAAGCAACATACTGCAGCGGACCGCGGGAGATAGTGAAAGGTCGCGGGAAGCAACTATGTGCCGCGAATTTTTTCTGTCGCGGTTCTGCCGCAATGTCCCAAAAATAATTTAATAACTTTTTATAAAGTAAAGCAGCAGTGTCACCATCCCAAACGCACCCTTTATCATATGTTTTCTCTAAATCAATAAATATAATATGTAGATCTTCCTTATTCTCTCTATACTTCTCCATCAAACCTCTCAATAAATGTATAGCTTCCATAGTAGACCTACTCGGCATGAATCCAAATTGATTTTGAGAAATATTAGTAACATGCCACAAACTATGCTCCATAACTCTCTCCCATAGTTTTAAAGTATGACACATCAACTTAATTCCTCTATAATTCGTACAATTTTGTGCATCACCTTTATTCTTAAAAATAGGAATTAACACACATTTTTCACTCAACTGGCATCTTTTTAGTCTTCAAAATAATATTAAAATTTTAGTAAGTGAAGAAATTCCTTCATTTCCTAAACATTTCCACACCACTATTAGAATTTCATTAGGTCCACTAGTTTTTTCACACTTCATTTTCTTGAAAGTCTCTCTAATTTTAGTTTTACTAATACGTCGATAAAAATAAAAATATATATTTTCATTTAGAGTGCTAAGGTCATTAAAGTCAATCATATTCTCACAATCTTCATTGAAAAGCTTAGCAAAATATCTCATCTATTTTTGTTGAATATCATCTTCTAAAAGAAGTACTTTTTGATCTTCATCCTTAATGCACTTCACTTGAACAAAATCCTTACAACTCCTATCTCTTTGTTTGGCTAGCTTGTACATATACCTTTTGTCCTCTATAATATCTAATATATTATATAAATCATTAAAAGCTAAAGTCTTTGCATCGCAGATTGATTTCTCAGACTACTTATGGACAACTTTATATCATTCCCAATTTTTAGAATTTTTACATCTAAACCAATTATTATAACAAAACTTCTTAGTTTTGATCTTTTCTTGCACATTTTGATTCCACCGCTAAATATTTTTATTATTATGAGTTTTTCCTTTTGAAACTCCAAGCACATCCTTTGCAACATTATTAATATTACTAGTTACTTTATCCCACATGGCATTTGTTTCCTCATGTATAAACAAAATCTTAAGATCTCAAATCTTACTTTCAAAAATATTTTTGTTAGTATTTTTTAAAAGCCCCCATTTAATATTAGAACAACATTTTACTAAATTTTTCATATTCTTCTCCTTCATCTTAAAATTCAAAAGTAATACACGATGTTGGATATATAAACTTTCACCTGGAATCACTTTGCAATTTAAACGATTTATTTTTTCTTATAAGAAAATAATCAATCTGAGTTTTACTAAATCCATTCTTATAAGTGATGAGATGTTCATTTCTTTCTTAAATAAAGCATTATCAATTACAAAATCATAAGATAAAGCAAAATCTAACATAGTCTTACCACCTTCATTAGCAACTCCAAATCTATAGCCACCATGAATAATTTTAAAATCCTCTACCTCTCTACCAACATGTCCATTTAAATCTCCTTCAATAAAAATTCTTTCTTCAAGATGAATCTTTTGAATTAATTCTACTAAGTCATTCCAAAATTTTAATTTTAAACACATCTAAATCTACTTGGGGATCATAAGCACTTATAATATTAATAATCTTAGCATTAATAATAATCTTCAAAGAAAAAATTTTGGCTTCAATTCTATCCATTTTTATAACATTACTCTTCAAACTCTTATCTATAATCACACATATACCATTTCTAATACGACTTCTACTAGAATACTAAAGCTTAAATCATAAACTATCAATCTCTTTAGCATTCTCTCCAACCAATTTAGTTTCCCAAATGCATAAAATATTCTCTTCCTACGAATCATAATATCAATTAATTTCATTAATTTTCCTGTAAGAGAACCTATATTCCAATATCCAATCTGAATTCTAGTTTCATGGACTAGCTTCTTTGCCCATACCGTCAATGATGTGGGAACCCTTGCCTATTTAACACTGCACCCGAGTACCAATGCAGCGGCCCTTGAACACTTCTCATTATATTCAGGTCATATAGCGCGTCTTCCAAGAAAAGCCCTAACATTAACACAATATATTAAATGATTCATGTCATGATTATTCGACATGTTAACAACTTAATAACATAGAGTAGAAAAATTCTAATAAAATAATGAAATATAAATTACATAAATCAACTCAAATAGTCATGATGAAATAAAATTCAAATTTTATATCCACGTCAAAGAGGCTATTGTTTTAGGTTTAAGAGCCAAAATTAAGCTAGTATTCAGCTGTTGGTAGAATCACATACTTTCGGGAAAAAAAACAATTATTAATTGCATAAAAATCATTTTTTTCTTCTGTAGATCAGATCCTAACCTTGCTGAAGCATACCACCCATCAGTCTATTCGCTCCTTGTAAATTGAGAGTCCCAGACCCGCTGTTAGCAGCTAAACTTGCTCTTGATGCAAGGCTGGAAATGGCTGGCCCACCAGAGTTTATGCTCCTTCCAATGTTAACTCCAGCAGAAATATTCCCTGCCGAACTTGACATTCGAGAGCCTAGGTTTCCCAAAATTGGATTGACTCCCATCCCAGGAATAGCATTGTGGTTGCCAGCAGGCGCACCAGAGGAAAATCCAGGTATGGAACCACCAACTCCATTTATATTGCTACTAAAGCCAGGGTTTCCTGCAACACTGATGCCACCTCTCTCAGTAATCCCTGAGAGTCCATGTGAGATCTGTATGATATAACAATTAATGCATGGAAAAAGACAGTAAAGAAAGCAAAGACAAAGAGGAGTTTCGTAATGAAGACAGAATACCAAAACTAATGTATCATAAAATCAAGAAATGAAAAAAATATTTCCATGTAAAAGAGGAAAAAAAAGGTTAAATTACCTGAGACATAGCGATTGGAAGATTGTTTGATGAGAATCTTCCAGAAGAGATGCTACTCCCAGGTTGTTGAAGACCACTTGAAGGAACAGCAGTCATAGTGGAATTCCTTGATGCCACTGACCCTGGAATGTTTGGAACAAAGTTCCCTTGCATGTTATGATGTAACCCTTGCATGCCTCCTGCAAATACAACAATCAGTAATAAGATGTGAGAGAAGGGCTAATAATGAATCAATTTAAAGCAAACTACTCAAACTTGACACTGTGGAGGCCTGCTTCCGAATAAAAATTTATGCAATTTTGAGTCGAGCTAGTTTGACTTGCACTCGAGGGATTCCAACTTGACTATAAATTATAATGAAAATAAAAGTTGGAGGAAGGGATTGCACATTTGACCTCTAGCACACATTATTTATATATATATATATACATATATATATATAAGTATATATATATATATATATATATATATATACACGCGCGCCTTCACACACATACATACCAGTTGACTAGAATGCCATTTTGAGTAAGAAACTATAAACTCGAAATCAAATAGAAATGGGTTTCAAATTGGCACCCTAGATCAAAATTTTTGCCTAGTAAAAAACTTTCTCAGTGATTTCCAAGAATCAGGTTCTCTTATTAAGCTTCTGTGAGAGATAAATTAGCAAGTCAAGATGTCAAGAGCTGCTCACCAGAGTGATGAAAACTAGGAGCATTTGCCGATTGAGCGGAAAAAGATGATGCAAAAGCCCTTCCTGTCGCATCACTAAGACTTGAATTTGAACCACCAAGATTTGACTGCAACAAAAATTTCAACGTGCATATTATCCAAACACCATGGGAGTAAATCTAACAGTACCTTGTAGAAATCTTAATGAAACATTTCCTCTGATATAGACATTAGAAGCACCTATGATCTTCTAGGGTTTAAATCAAGGCATAGGCCACAAGCATACATGAAGAAGGCCTATCCAATTGATAAGAGTAAGGAAAATCATCAACTTGATTTTAAGAAAACCAAATCAAACAAAGAGGGAGAAATTTGCAAATGACGAGCAAAACCTACAATTCTTGCCCCCACTAAAGAAACATTTAATATCCACTGCCGAATCCTAAAACTTTGCTCAGTCTATTTATTCCTAGTTTTATCATTACTTTTTATCGATATGTTCATTTCATTTATTATTTCAAAAGTAGCATGATGACCGGTTTGGGCAGGACCACAAGGTAATAATCCACGGGGTGCATCTCCAGATCATTCATCTAGCTCTTCTATCAAAGATCCTCTTCATTACTACGTAAATACTTGCATGAAGATTTTCGGCAGTTGATTAAATACCACTCAGGTGGTTAAATTTTTCTAAACAAAATTTGATTAATGAAATTATGTACAAAAAATTCTTCCCAAATAACTTTTTCTAAAACTAAGAAATAGTACCAAATTTGAGTCCATCCATTCAATTGGTAATTGTTAAAAACTTCCATGCATTCAAAGAACACCATATTTAAAAGAAAAACATCTCCAGGGGATGCTGAACCAGAGAGTAAACATCCAAAAACCATATGAAATTATGGTGCACGCCACTTCCGCTGCAAAGATGCTTAAATGGAAGGTTAAAACAAATCACGAAATCATTTAAATAAATATACAAAAGTTTTCAAATTCTACCGGTCACATTTAGCTTGGTACATAAAGTTCACATAATAAAGTAAAAATTACTCTAATATGATATCTTAGAACAATAAAGTTTTGCGCAAATTTTCACACACCAAAAAAAATCCAGTAGCGTTGATTCTTTAGCCTCAATATTCGAAGTTCAGATAACACAATCTAGGTCTTCATCTGCCTAGTGCCTACTGCCTACTGCCTACTGCTAATGAAAGATGACCCTGATACTGTTACGAATCTGGCAAGCAGGAGCAGGGGGATGCATCCAGCCTAGACCAGCTGAACCCCGAAATTCTGATGGGCGGAAAACAAAGCAGCAGACAGGGAGTTCAGTCCCCCCTTTAGGGTCCAGCAAAGCTATAATCCAGAAGGAATCAAAGGAGATTATTTAGGAAAGTTTTAATTACAATTGGGAGAGAATTAATTAGGGAAATAAATCTAATTTGAATTCAAATATGAGAGGGGACTATTTAGGAAAAGAAAGCTTATTTGGGAGGGAATTATGGGAGCTAATTTAAGACTAACAATAATGTATTTTGGGGGATTATGCTTGTGTTTGCTAAAATTAGGGTTTCTTAGGTTGAGGGCTCTAGCCGGCGGCTAGGAATTTGGGAGAGCTGGATCTTCCTCTCCAATTGAAGTTCCAACTATATCTTGCTATTTTCTTTCATATTTTTTGCAATAATAAGTTTCGAGGTGGGTTCTTCCCAAATTCTTGTTTCGGTTCGCTGATTTAGTACAAATTGCATCTACTTCCTATTAAATTGGCATTAAAGCGGTATCCTAGGCTAAAATATAGCACTTCCTCGCTGATTTTCGTGGCAGTTTTCTCCCCGATCTGCCATTTTTTGCCGTTGGAAGATTGAATCCACTGTTTTTTGGTTGTTTTTGTCGTTTGGAGTCTTGATCAAGGTACCTATGACATGAAAGAATAAAGAAGTGTTAGAAGGGGAGATCGGACAATTGAAATCTGAAATTTCAGATTTCTAAAATCAAATTACCGTCCATGAGAAGATTGATTAGAAATTTATCATCATAAAGGAGATGATGAAGAAGTTGCTCATGGCCAAACAAAAATGGCATCATTGGAGGCAAGGGAAGCCGCCGGCAGCCAAGAGAGTAGGGAGAATCCTAATCCGATAAGGAGAGGGGGAGAACAAGAGGTGGAGATCTTGGAGGGAGAAGAGAGAACTCCTCTAGAGCCCATTTCTAGGGAGGAGATAGGTAGAAGATATAGGGAGATGCATGAGGGGTTTGGGTGTGAACGAAAGGGATTGAATTTGAAAGAAGAGGGACTGACTATGACCGGAGATGTGCTGATTTCGAAAAGAGAAGGGGGCTTTTGATGAAGGGTTTGGGTGCGAGCGTTAAAAAGATGATCAGGACACTTTGGGGAGACGCCCACTTGGGGAATGGGAGCTTATGGAGGAAACAGAGGGAACAGAGGAGATCCTAGGGTGAGGAACCTAAAGATGTCTATTTTTGAGAGATAGAATGCACATGGGAGGATCTACATGATGGAAATTTATAAAATAGTAATTAACAAAAAAACTAAATTGCCCACATCTTTGTATTAAGCAACAAAGATGTTACTAATTGTCCAATTAAAAAAGCCAAAAAGAGAACGCTAAAATGGATGTACTATAGAAGTAGAAATTATAGAGTGAGAAATAAAGAGAGATCCACTAAGAGAACAGCACTGCTAAAGTTGAAGAAAAAAATTGTAATGTGTTGGATATTTTAAGAGCAAAGAAGCAACAAATCATAACCATACAGCAACTTAAAAAAAGAAAAAAACAATACCAAGACTAGTGTTGATCAACTAGTTCAAACCCATACCATCAAGTATCTTATGTAGGACTTAAAAGTTTAGGCAATGTTAAATAAGAAGTTGCACATTTTTATTTGAGAGCAATATTAGTTTTTAAACTTGCAATGATTTTTAACAATGAAAGAAAACAAGAGGGGTGAAACTAGCTTAGGCCAAGTCACACGGCTAGAAGTTAAGATCACAAAATAATCAATTATTCAAGCATAGCATACATGAAGGATTTTCAACGAGAAATCCCTAAATTAACAATCAATGAGATTAGTTCTACAAAAGAGATCTCTCACTCAACTCTTTTAAATTACTAGGCTTAGCGGAGGGAGTTAACACAACCGTTATAATTCAATTATGACCAGAATGGAGAGTAATTAGGTAGGTATGGAATTTGGAGGAGAAGTTCACCTTCGTCAGGGTTTGGAAATAATCTACAACTGTACGGAGGAGAGTTGATCGTCGATGGCTTCAGCAAGGGTGAAGATGATCCTCTCTATGTATTCCTATACAGTTTGGTCAATCTCTAAGTTGAGGTTGAAGAACGATGAGTTGAGAATGTTGACGTGACCTTGATCGTCGTAAAAGAAAAACCCGTGATCTTGTTCAGGATCCGCTATGCATTACTGGACAACATGATGAGGACATCATTAGGAGATTCAGGAATGTCTATCATCGAAAGCAGTGCATAGCGACGGCCTTGATCAGAAGTCTTTATTTTTTATTTTGCATTTATGTTTCTTTTATTAGTTGTGACGATTGTAACATTTATTTGTTTGTGTTTGAGTTGTAGCCCCGAGGGCATTCTTGTCTTTCTTTTCTAATTGTTTAGAGGCCTATATATAAGGTCCTTATCTTGTATGAGAGGAGATGATGAATATTGAATAAAATTTTATTTTCTTTGCTTGATCTCTAAGTGAGTTCATGAGAGGAGAGATCCTAGGTGGGTGAGAGCAATACTCGTCAACCTTCGGTGGATTCCAAGGTTCGCGGCTCCATTATTTTCTTTTCTAAGTTCGTTCTACTTTCATCTCCCCTCCTAGCCCCTACCCGCCGGCCTTCCAAACCACCCATCCCCTTTCCTCCCAAAAACCAACCACCCATTCCCTTTCCTCCTCCCAAAAACTGAACCCCACCCAACACCTCACCCTTGTGCTGCCGGCCTCCCCTCACCCGTCCACCACCAACCCCTCACGACCGGCCTCCCCAAGCCCTACAAGCCGCCGGCCATCAACCCACCACCCAAGGATTTTGAATTTCAAATTTCAAAATTGTCCATAATTACTTTCCTTAATTGCGTCCTCATTAATTTGAAATGTTGTTTCATTTAGATTCAAATTCAAATTTGAATTCTAAAACTTTCCCTATTAATAACGTATATTCAGAGACCTCCTAAATCAATTAAAATTTGAAATCAATTTTAGATTTAATGGCAATCCTCAATTAAATCCTTTCTGGGCCCACATATTAAATGCAAATACCTCAAATTTCCCCTCATGTGGCCAGCCCCTCTCTAGCCCTTTCTCTCTCCAATTTTGCCACCTAGGCCCTCATTAAATCCCTATTAAACCCTCGTTGGCTACCGCCCAAAAAAGCCACCCTTATTGGAATTAATTTGAATTTCAAATTGAAGATTCAAATCTCTCCCAACCCCATGCATGCCGCCGACCCCTCCATGGGATCTCCCTCCTCTCTCCTCATTAATCTCCCTCCACTTGAATTTGATTTTCAAATTTCAAATTCTTAAATTTATTTTCCTATTTTACTAAAATCTAAAACTAATTTCAGATTTTGTATTATTTCTCCTCTCCAAACCCAACCCTAAGTCCACCAAAAGCAAGTCACTCTTCCCTTAGCCGTCCCTTCTTCCTTCCCACCTCTTGGAAACCCTCTTGCCTCATGAGCTCCACTCCAAGAAAGAAGAAAGCCTCCCTCCATCGACAATCCCCTTGATTAGTGCATGGCCGATCCGGATCATGATTGTGGATTCCTCTACGACAATCAAAGTTTAGTGAATATTCATCAATCCATCTTCTTCGACCTCGATCCATAAGTGAACAACTCCATAGAAGATCACATCAATCACACCTTATTCACGTTGGCGTCATCAATTGAAGAGCATCTACCATCCGGAAGTTGGCGGAACATTTGGTACCCACCCACGTCTTCTCCCTCTTTGGTGAACTTTCGTTGGGCTACTACTCTAGGTGTCTTCTCAACTTTGGTGGCATCGCTTGGTTTGCTAAGGTTCTTTCCCGCTAACCCTTACTAGATGAGCTTGAGTGAGGGAAACTCAAGGTGACTTTTCTA